CACATATAAATCAAGTATAAAAATCAAACGAATATTCATATTTGACCTGATTGTTTATAGTTCATAATGCGTGATCAAAACCGAAAGTTTCTGTGATGACTGCCCTTGTACTGTTCACCATGTAAGAACTTATTCACTATGTAAGAATTCGTTCACCATGTAAGAACTTGTTCATTGTGCTTCAGAAGATTGGAGACTGATGAGAATTAGGCTTGGGGTGGATTAATGATTGTGCATTGAGTCCCCTGTACAGAATTTTATTGTTGTTAACTGTTAACAACCATTTGATCAATAAATATGAGAGATGCCCTCTCAAAAGAAAAAAAAAGCCCTTCTCCTTTTCCCAACAGACCTTCCCTTAACAAACCATGGTACCCATGTGTTGTCCTGGGATCACACCTTGAGTGATGCTGTCCCCATCCAAATGTAGCCTGTGTCTGTGAAGAGTGCCAGGTGTCGGTAGGTGAAGGAGACAGCCATCTGCAGGAAGCTGCTCACTCCTGGGGCCAGGCCAGGGGGTGTCTGGGGCAGGGCCAGGGAGGACACCAGAAATAATGACTTCTCAGGTCTTCCCTACTGCCTGCCCCAGTCTCTCCATTTCACTCCCACTCAGGGCTCTTACCACTGTGGAGCAGGCTGCATGGTCCAGGAGGTAAAGATCGGGCCCCACAGCAAGAAGAATGTGTGCCACTCGCTCCTGGCACAATGTGGTCCAGCATGAGGGTGCAGCCTGCAGACCTGTGGCCCAGGGCAGAGGACAACCTCAGAATGACCCAAGCCCACAGCTTTGGCCTCTGTTGACTCCACGGTCTGCAGGCACATCTGTGAGTACTGAATGGCTCTCAGGGGTGTCAGGGCTCACCTGGCACCTCTGGCATCCGGCGGAGTTTGAGGTCACCCACATTGGCACTGAGGGTGAAGCGGTGGGCCCCTGTGAGGATGGCCACCCCGGAACCAAATTCGGTATGGAAGATCCGAGCATCTAGAACCCGGTTCTGGAGTACTTCCTGGGGAGAGGCGCTGTGGGTTACAGGAACCACAGGGTCACAGACCCCCTCCCTTTTGCCCAGCCTACATTGCCCATGCTGAAGTGTCTCCGGAAGTCTCCGTGAAGCCCGTAAACCAGCACCGCACCATCTTCCTGCACACAGAGCAGCTCTTCCTCAGCGGACCAGCCGAGGGACACCACAGGCCCACTCTTCCACTGCAGAGGAGGAGGTTGTGGAAGTTGACCTCAGAACACAGAACCCACCCAGCCCCCAGTCCCAGGGCGGGGCGGGGCTGCACACCGGCAGACTGGCCAGAAGCACCCCCGAAGCAGAGTAGATCCTGAGCACTGGCCGTGCGCTGGCAGCCTTCTCCTTCCTCCAGGGGCTCCTCAGCAGTGCTGTAGTTCGAGAAGAGATTTTCTGTCCAGCTCCCCAGACATTCCCCATATAGTACAGGCCTTATGAGACCAGAATTAAAAGCATCTCAGTGTGGGTGGGGGAATGGAGGGGACTACCAGCACACACCAGCGAGAACAGGAATGAAGAACCTTGAGTTTACCCAATGGTCCCAGAACATACAGTGGCAGAGGGGTGGCATACCAATGGGGCCCCCATAGGGTGCAGCAGCGACCAGACAGTCTCTGAGTTCCTCCTTCAGATCCCAGGCCATGCTGTACAGTTCATACTTCCTGCCACACAGAGGCAAGCAGAGATTATTCTTGTGACTCTGCATCCGGATGGAGTGAGTCCCAGAGGAACCCCTAAAGGCTCCATCTACCCTCCACAGGGCAGTAGAAGAGCCCCCTAAACCCCCCAATGAGGCAGGGACAGGGGTAATGGCTTGGAACAGCTAGGCCAACTAACCACATGCATGCTTAGGGACAGCAGGCAAGGGAACAGAGGGTGTTGGCAGGAAAGGGGCAAGTATCCAAGGATGGTAGGAGCTCCTGGGACAGGCAGACTGTGTGGCCAAAGACAGGGCACAAATTAAGGTAGGACTAGGGTAGGGTGGCTGGCTTGGACCTATGTTGGCAGGAAATAGGACCCTACAAGGGTCTTTTGGAGCAGCTAGCATTTCTTCTATTTCTGATTCTTGGCTTAATACCCAGGGGTCCAGCTGAAGTTTGTTGATAATGAACTGTTTTAAAGGTACTGAATTAGCAGTGCCTGAAAGAAATCCAAGAGGAGCTTCAGTGAGCCCAGAGCTGAAGAGAGAGTCCTGATTGGAGATGTCAATCTGTGAATGCCTGACTCATGGAAGGCAAATGAAATCACAGGCCAGCACGAAATGACTGCAATCTAAGATGTGCATGGTTCACTAAAAAGGTGTGTGCTGCATGAGAAGACAGAGTAAGAAGTTTGAGGCTCACCATCATTTAATGGTTGGAGATGGGGAAAGGGGACAGAAAAGGACTGGGCATTATTCCAGGACACCAAGACAAAACAATGCGTAAGAAGCAGAATGTTTTGGCTACTATCACTTCAGGAGTCTTCCCATTAGAGATCAGAAAGGTGCCCACCATTACCTTCTATTTGACATTCTTCTTGGGTTTCTAGCCAAAATAATTTAAGAAAAAAATAGAGAGATTTATATTTTGGAGGAGTAAGACTGCTCCTGTTTACAATAATGTGATTGGCTATTTAGAAAATCCAAAATAGTCTATAGAATAAAGAATAAAAGAGCTCAGTTGGGTGACCAAGAAAAATCAGTGTATTTTGCATATCAATAAATTCTCTACCACAGGGAGAATCAATTAGAAATACAACCTTAAAAAGATCCTAACATGATAGCAATAAAATAAGATACCCAAGAATAAACCAATAAAATGTTTACAAAATCAAATCAAAGTTTACTCAAGAATATAGAAGACATGAAGAAGTATTCTAGTATGATCTATAATTGCTAGAATTCCAACAAAAATCACCCCCAATTTCTTTTGGGTGGGAGCTCAAACTGATTCTAACATTCATCTGCTGAACAAAAAGATCATTTTAAAGAGAAAATACTGGAAAATATTTAAGAACATTTTGAAAATATGAGCACAAATATATATCAGATATCAATATACACTATATAAAACTAAAATCAATTAAAATGGTTATTTGGCACAGGAATAAGCAAATCGATCAGCGGAAGAGACCAGAATCCAGAGAAAGACCTGGAAATTGAGCATGTAATAAGATGGCATTTCAAATTGGTGCAAACTAATACTTGAAATGAGACAATGAGCCATATGGGAAGAATCACAATAAATGCTATTTCATTACTTAATCTCTACAAAAAAATAGTTTCCAGATGGGATTCAAGATTTAAGTGTTAAAAAATAAAGCTGTATCAGAACAAATCTTGGCAATTTTTACAATCTCAAAGTAGAAACAAATTCTAAGCATGATATAAAACCTGGGTGTGACAAAGAAAAAAACCAAAAGATGTGTCTAAGTAATAGTAGGACTTCTGTATACTTCTACATAAAAGGGGTAAAAACAATACATGTATTTTATATTAGCTTCTATCTGAAAAAAGAAACTGGAAATATTTCCAAGAACGTAAAAATAGCAGTTACTTATATGTGAGGGGTGGAATTAGATGAATAAGGACAGGGATAGGACTGAGACTTTGAGTTTTTAAATCACATTAGCAGTCATTTATATTAAAATAATCATTAAAAACTCTCATACATTAAAAAAAAAAATCCACCAAGAACAAACTAGTAAGACATACTATGAAAAGGGAAAAAGTGTTGGTGACATATATGAAAAAGAGATCCCTTCCTTAAAAATACAAAAGGCTGTAATTTTTAAAAAGAAAAAGAAAAAGAAAAATGGTCAAGGGTTATTATCCACTATTTTATGTAAAAGTATTTAAAAACTAACATGAAAAACTTGAGAAAATATGAAAATATGAACTAGTATTTTTATAATGTGAACTATGGAAAAGTCTTTTAGAGCAAGACACAAAACCCAGAAATTATCAAGGAAAAAATCGATAGATTTTATTACATGAAAATTGAAAATCTGTATGTTAAAAATTAATACATAAAAGTGACACTGAGAAAACATTTTCAACATTTGTAACAAAAAGCTAATGTGTACTACACAAAGAGCTCCTTTGCAAATCAACAGAAACAACACAACAGAAAAATAGTCAAAGGATATAGATATATCTAATGACTAGGTAAATATAAGTTTGAAAATTATGTTTTTACCATCTGAATGGCAAAAATTATTACTAACAACAACTAGTACTGTTGAAGACGTAGAAAAATGAACATTTGCATATATATTGGTGGGATAATAAATTGGTTCAGCCTTATTGGAAGAAAAGCTATCTATCCAACTTTTAAATATGTACACTGTGACTTAGCAATTTCCTTCTAAGAGTCTAACTTATAAAAGTACTTGCATTAAGTGCACAAAGCTATGAATTCACTGCAACACTATTTAATAGTTAAAGAAAAAAACCTGGAAAAACCTCCTTAAAGGTCCACCCAAATGGGACAGGTTAATGAACTATGCTATGCCCATTTGGGGGAATATTATGTGGCTATTAATAAGGTGACTCTTTGTGTACTGACATGAAATGATCTCTAAAATACACTGTTAGATTAAAAAAGTAAGCTGCAGCTCAATATGAACTCTGTGAACCTATTTATTTATGAAATAAAAAAAACAAGCACGTATTTTTGACAAATATATTACATATAATCACATGTATATGTATAAATACATAGAAAAACACTTAGAGACCCTAAACTGCACTAACCCAGAGATAGTGGTTACATTGGAGAGGGTGGTGAATGGGTGAGGGATGTAGGGGGGCTGCCAATGTTTAGACTATATACTTTTGCATTGTTTGAATTTTTTATAACACTATATGCATTTCTTCTGACATTTTGTCACAAAATCATTGGATGAAAATAAGATGAGAAAATATTCACAGACCTAACATGTCAGTTATCAATCCACTGATGCTCAGCTCCAAATTCACCCTTCAGTGCCATTTTGTATGATAACAGACAGTACTCCTTTGTGCTTCTGCTTTATAGCAAGTGAAATGCTAGTAATCTCTGCACGTAGAAGACGCTGGAGGAACACTGCTGCCTGAGGAAGGGGCTCTCTTGCAGCTTCCAGAAGGGGCACAAGCAGCCAGCAGCCAGGGTGTGAGCACATCTGGTGGTACTATCATGCCAGTAACCTTGAAGGTTCACCCAGACTGGTGATCATCTTCCCATGGCTCCCTGGACAGACCCCGCATTCTTGGCCTGCCCATACCAGGCCCTACCTTCCTCTGCATGTCAAGATGCCTGACCACTGGCAAGCCCACCTGGACCACTCAAGTGTTTCCAGTGGCCCTCTCTGCACACCCATGCTCCCAGCCACTGGTTGTGGCTTACCTTACAGACACCATGTGCTCAAGACCTCCTGTCTGCACCAGCACTCTTCCTGAAGAAGAATCCCAGAGGGTTGCTTCTTGCTTGCCCAGTAACTGGGCCAACTGTGGCCCAGGCAAACCAGTGAACTTCTCTGCTATCCAGTGAGATGCAACTGTAATTTCTCCAGCAAGGTCTGAAACCCAACCTGGAAAGGGGCTCCCTTCAAGTTTGTCTTCCTTGGGTACTCTCCCTCAGCCCTAGGCTACTAAGTAAGATTGTCTTGTATCTTACAGTTACTCTTCTATTACAGCTTAATCATTCTTTGTGTTTATTAAAATTCGCCAGTTTGTCTCCTGATTGGACCCAGACTGATATAAACTTGGCACAAGGAGCGGTCCCAGGAGATAGACCCTTAAAGATGTGATTTGGAGATAGGTTTGGTTGTGCATTTGGGCTTGAAGGCAGGGCTAAGCTTGCTATCAATGAGAAACAGGTGCCAGTGACCTACTGCATGCAGTGGCATCACAATTCATCAAGCTTCAGTTTACTGTGGTAAATGTCAAGGCAAACATGTGCTTTGGGAGTGACTTCTGTGCTTGACCATATGGCAGTAATGATGATTACTAGGGCTGTGTGGCGAGACAGATTATTTTAAGTGCATGTGAGCATTTCCAAAGAGAAAATGACAAGCCTGGGTCTGTTAACTTTCAGCTCAAGTCATGGTCTGGGAAGCAAAAAGCTTCTATAACAGCCCTAAAAGAATCTCTTATTTCTTGTAGCCACACAGCTGCTACTGCTGAAAATCAAACACAAAATTTAATTTTGTGGGTTGTTAAATTAAAATAGTTTAATTTACCAACACCGCATGCCATTTCTCATGTGAAAGTTAGGACAATGATCAGGCAAGAAATGGATCCTGAAACCTAGAAGGGGAGTATATGGTTAGACCCAGATGAAACTGACAACATTGAACCCTGAATTCATTCTTAGCCTACTGTACCAGAGAAGCAGCTTGCTCTCCTATGTCCAAAGAGACTAGCCTTCCACTGCATGAAAATGCTCTGATAACCTCACTTGGGGTAGCTGTCTTGCTTGGGAACCTCCCTTCCCAGGGCTGACCTGAACACCACTGCTTAGCTGAGAGGAGAATCTGCCAACAGCAGAGCCAATACCTTGTCCGAATATGGCATGATTCCTGGGGAGACCAGCCTGCCAGTTGATTATGTGGGACTTTACAATGGAGGTCATGACCATCAGCATCCAAACCCACTGGGCAATCTCAACTTCCCTGGCAGTGGACAAACCTGGTATGAAGA